GAGAGGAGCAGCAAATAAAAACGTAACACGAGCTTTCCGCGAATTGTATTTATTTCCGAAGTTTCTTTACCCCTGCAGGTAAAGAAACTTACGTTTCGAAAGCATGCAGTCATTCAGTCTTCTCATTGTCAGCACTGCGATGTTGAACGGAGACAACCGGCACCCAGTTCGCGCACTTTATGTCTTACCTTTGCTATTCCTCGAGCCACAATTCCTTCGTCAACCGCACATCACGGAGGAGTGAAAATCAGTCAGTCAATCAGTCAGAAAACGTTTAATGCCATAGAAAAGGAAAAAAAAAAGGAAGAAAAGAGGGAAGGGGGTATGAGGGAGTGCGCCGGTGATATCAAGATCTGGACGCTGGCACTAAGGAAAGGTAACTAAATCTAAATGAATATGTCCAGCTTGGCCTCATAGATGAAATTCAGGAGACCTTTCAAGACTCTTCGTCTGTCACTTTCGGAGCCTGGTGGATGTGTCCACCCCTCCATAGATGCGATGTCTGTTGGTCGATGTCTTGCCCCTATGTCTTTGTACTCTGGACACTCCCACTGCAAGTGAAAAATGTCTACCTTGACGCCCATATTGCACTTGGAGCAAGTTCCGGATCTTTTTCCTTGGCTCCAAGATGCGATGCGCGCTGATGTTAGTGCGGTGTCCGTCCTCACTCGAGTCAGGAGAACTCTCGCCCGTCTTCCAAAACCCGTACAAGGGAGCGGATCTGGGTTTTTGGGGAGCTTCTCTTGGAGTTTTGTTAGATAGTCTTCTCTGATCTTGGCCCGAACCTCGCCTGGATCATATTCTTGTGGCTCCCAGTTGGCCTGTGCCCGATCGCGAGCGTGGCCGTACCCGTGGTCATGTTGTGATGCAGGTATGTTGTCCGAACCGCGGGGAAGAATAAGCGACGCGCGGGCCAGGCGATGTACCTGTTCGTTGCCGGGTATGCCCGCGTGACCGGGAACCCATGCAATTCTTGTGGTGGTGCCTCGTGAAGCTAGTTGAGATGCAAGTTTCTTTATCGAGCGGACTATCCGGCTTGGACTGTTCCTTGTTCTACATTCCTTCACCGCCTCTTGCGAATCTGTAAATATCCGGAGATTCGCTGTTAGCGGGTCGGGGAGTGCGAGGACCGTCTCGAGGGCGAGGCGGATTGCTGTGAGTTCTCCTCCTTTGGTCGAGGCGCCTTCGGGGAGCTGCTTGGTAACGCTGATTTTTAGGGCAGGGATGGCTGCAGCTGCTGTCTTCAGGGTGACGGGGCCGTCTAGCGATGCGGTATCCGTGTAGGCAGTCGTGATGCAACTCGGATCCCATGCTTCTACCATCTTAGTGTGCGCCTTGGCTTTACGTGTCAGCTGCTTGGTGTCCCCCTTGCGTGCACTAGGCTTGTTGTCGGTGAACTCCGCAAGGTCTTCCCATGGTGGAAGTTGCTCGGGTAGTTCTGGGAGGTTCTCCGTGGGTCTGTGGAGGAGCTTCATAATCTCTCTGCCTGGTCCAGTAAGCTTGAGGCGCTCACTGTGGGCAACCGTGCGGGCCGTCACTACGTCATGGAGTTTGTTGATACCGGCTTGTTCCCGCAGTTTGCCGAGGGGGGTAAACTTAGGAAGGCCGGTAATTACACGCATTGCTTGATTGTTTAAGGTTTCCAGTTTCTGCCACTGTCCCTTGTTAAGCCAGTAGTGGCGGGCTCCGTAGACTACGCGCGAGACTACGAGGGCTTTGACCATCCGTTTGGCTACGTTTTCAGTCGCGCCTCCTCTTGCGATGCATATACGCCTGATTGCGTTGAGCGCGGAGTTACAGTACTTGATTGTGCCTTGTAACCAGATGTCTCCCTTGTCCGTTTCTTCGATCATAATCCCTAGGATCCTGACTGAAGGGGAGGGTTTGATTCTTTTACCCGCGAGTACGAGATTAAATCGTTCTGCGATCTTGGCATTTCTGTGTTTTCTTGGTGCCACCACGGTGTAGTGGGTCTTTTCTGCAGATGCTTGCATTCCTACCCTGGCTAGGTGAGTGTCGATTGTGTCGAGGCCTGCTTGAAGTGTGTCTTGCTGCTTTGCAATCTCTTCTCCTTTCGTCCACATTGTGATGTCATCCGCATACACGGTAAAACCGAGTTCAGATATTTTGGCGAGCTCATGCGGCAGGGCTACCATTGCGAGGTTAAATAGTGTTGGTGAGAGGACGGAACCCTGAGGGACCCCAACTCGGTTCATCTTCGGGTCACTGTCGTGCGTGCCGCAGCGGACCGAAAACGTCCTTCCTTCTAGAAAGCTCTTGACGAAGTTCAGCGGCCTTCCAACTATGCCAAATTGTCTGGCTTCGCTGATGATTGAGGTGTGGGGTACAGAGTCGAACGCTTTTTTGATGTTTACCGCCACGACTGTTTTTATCGCCGCGCGGTTCAGTCCAATATTTCTTATGACTTCTGCCGAGATGAGGGCGAGGCTTTCCTGTGTTCCGAGGCAGGATCGGAAACCAGTCTGGGAGGGATGGAAGGTGCCAGAGGATTCTAGGTGCCAGTCAATTCGTGCCAATACCATCCGCTCCATGACCTTACAGGTACATGAAGTTAGCGAGATGGGTCTGTAGTTACTGAGTGATCCCTTGTCTTTTCCGGGTTTTGGAATGGGAACGACAAGTGAATGCTTCCACTGCTCAGGGAGCTTTCCGGTGACCCAGATGTGGTTCACCCATTCGAGGAGCTGTTCTTTTGTGTTTTCTGGAAGGGTCTTAAGCATGGTCATGGTGATTTTATCCGGCCCGGGCGACGATCGGGATTTTCCTTTGTGTAGCGCCCACTCGAGTTCTCCCCTCGTAAACGGTCGGTCCATGCCGTCGTCCGGGGCCAAGATTTCTACATCGTACAGAGAAGGGCAGTCGTTCACGTCTGGCTGTGGGAAAAAGAGATCCCCCGCCATTCCTGCGAGCTGTTCTTCCGTCTTATTCATCTTGAGAGCAAGCGTGAGCGTCGCTCCTTTTACCTTCTTTCCAAGCAGAGCCCGATTTGTAGCACATAGCTTCGTAATCGAGGTTTTGTCGGAGGGCGAAGAGCTGTAGTCTAGCCATCGGCGTGTATCTAATTGTTGGGCGTATTCCTTAGCCTCTACCGTAGCTCTTGTTATGGCGTGTCTGCCTTGCGGAGTTTTGCGACCCTTTCGGTACTTTAGTACCACCTGCAGCCGTTTAGCCCAGAGCCGTTAAAGGTGGAGGTCGGGATTTGGAGCGTCTTCATCGACGTTCGTATTAATCGTAGCTCCTTGCAGGGCACTGTTTAGGAGGCTCTCGAAACTGGACCCTTCAAAGTTACCTTCTTCCAGCGTTGCCCTGAACTTGTCCCAGTGAATGGTTTTAGCCGCTCTCCGCTTGGATTTGTCTTTGATCTTCTTTGTAGGCGAGAATTCAAAGAAGATTGGGAAGTGGTCGCTGTCCCAAGAGTCCGGAAGGCACTTCCACTTGTGGTGATATGTGTAGATGTTTGAGGTCCATGTAAGGTCTGGGGTGGTGTCCTTCTGCCTGGCGTCTCCCAGCCTTGTCTTGGTCCCGTGGTTATTGACTAGGTTGATTCTGAAGATCTGCATCTCACTAAGCAGCTCTTCCGCTCCTGTCGATACGAGGTTGTATCCCCGAGCATGATGTTGGAGGTTGAAGTCTCCACAATAGAACTTTTGTTCTCTTGGGTACAGATCGTGCAGATGAGCGATCCAACCGTGGTTTCTTTTTGGTGTCTTGCTTTTAAGAGGCCTGTAGTATGCGGATGTGAATACGATGTTCTGCTGCCGGACCGTGGCTCTCACTGCAACGATTTCTTGATTTTCATTACAATAGGGGGTTAGATCTACTTGGTGCTGGGGCCAGTCGCACCTTACATAGACGAGCGCTTTCCCTGGCGGGGAGGCAGATTGCCCCGGCCGTTTACTAGTTATGGACAGGCTTGAGTAGGTAGTGTAACCATTGAAGTCGATGCTTGTAGTATTAGTCTCTTGAAGCAGTAATACATCAGGACGCTCGTCAGGCTTGTCCAACAGACGTACTCGGAGCTCGGCCGCCCGCTTGCGGAGCGCCTGGCAGTTCCATTGGAGCACCCTTATCATTAGAGTTAAAAAATATTCGCTGTAAGTGCCCTCATCTGACTGAGGGTGGACTTGTGGTGGTTGTTCTCTTCTTGCTGGGCTTGGACAATGGACTTGAGCCTGTCCAGCTCGGCTTTGAAGTAGTTGCAGGTGTTGCGTAGTTCTTGGATCTCCGCCTGTGACGACGGTGATGGTGGTGGAGCGGCGATGCCATGTTTGACTCTGTCAGCCCACAAGGTGCCGCTGGAAGGGACCGGGGTCTTGACAGCCCCGGTCACAGTCTCCTGCTGCTGCTGCTGTTTTTGTTGCTTATGTTGTTCTCGGAATTTATTTACGTCTTCCCGCATTCGCTTGTTGGTCTCTTGCCATGTGGGGCATTTGCGGTCCGTTCCCAGGTGGCCCTTCTTTCTGCACCCTTGGCAGTAGGGTGTGGAGTCGGGGCATCCAGGTCCCTGGGCAGGATCCGTAGAGGCTGGATGTTGAGTTCCGCAGGTGGGGCACACGGCAGCATTTGGGCAGATGTCCGGTTTGTGTCCCAATCGGTGGCAGTTACCGCACGTAACCGCTTTCGGCTTGAACGGGAAGACCCGCATATATCTATTGCCGTACAAGACGGACCTCGGCGTCTTTTCTCCATCAAATGTGAGCATTGCCGTGTTAGACTTTCCCAGTCTACGAGCAGCGATCACCTGGATCTTCTCAGATTCCAATTCAAGGTTCAAGACGTTGTCTTGGGATCCTCTTCTCTTGAGTAAATGTCGTAGATGACCCCTTTGCAATAGGCGGTTCCGTACGTTCTAAAGACTTGTACAGAAACTGCTTGTCCGCCAATGTCAACCTCGGTTATCTTCTCGAGGGTTTCGGCCAGCTGTTTCGAGACCGTGCGGACTGAAATAGTGTTGGCCTTGTCTAGTGGATGCATTGTGAATGCTGTTGAAACGCTCGAGAGGTGCGTTTTCAGTCTTGGTAGTAGTGGTTTTATCGAGACTTGGGATCGTGTTAGGCGGATCTTGTACTCGAATTGCCAACGCCGGGAGGGCTTGGCCTTCTCATTATTTTATTGTGTCGGGTCCTCGCGAGCCCGTTTCCTTTTCTTCCTGCTCGTGACGGTGGTAAAGTCGTCCTCTTCCTCCGTTTGTTCTGTAGTAGGTAGCGCGGCGGCCGCAAGCTTTTGTTCCGGTAGTGTCTTAGCAGGCACTGAGCTGTCGCCCTGACTCCCTGCTGGTTGTGGCGTCTTGCCAGATATAGGTGCAGCACCGGCTGGCGCTGGCAGAATTGTTGTTGTGCTGCTTTTCAAGGCTTTCTTAGAACTCGCAGACTTGTTCTTCTTCTTCCCCTTGGTAGTTGGCACAATTTCGTGAGATTCTCCAATGACACTTTTGAAAATATCGATAAGGCTCTCTTTCGATAGGCTCGAAAGGAGAGCCCTTAAGACTAGCTCGACAGATTGGGCTGTGCTTGGAACTGTGGAGGGCTCACCAAACTGGAAGACTGTTGAGCACCCCATTGTCGATTTGTTTAGTATCGAGGCTGGAGCAGGTCCTGCTCCCATCGTGGTAGCGGCGGGACCGGCGTTACTCGCATTCCTCGTGTCCATGGCCTCTGGTTGACCGTGGCTGGTCGATGCGTTGCTCGAAGTCCTGGCCGCATCTTCCGGTTTTACCGAGGGGCAATCCCCCGAAGATCCAAAAGGGGGGCCCGAACTTGGCAGCTCGGGGCTGGGCTTAGCGCCGAGCATTTTCGAAAAAGTCGAGAGCTTAAGCAAACACGTCCGATCACATCGGTGGCTTCTTCTTTCTCGAGTGAAAATCATTCGCCCGCAAAACAAAAGCCGCTCTCAAAAAAAAAAAAGCAAATCCGAAGCAACCTCTTGGCTTATCTCAGCACGGTAACACGAAATTATGGCGTAGCCGCGTAGCTAAAATGATGTTTAATCGCTTGCCACCAGATGGCAGGGTCAAGCAGAGTAATCGCAAGTAGGTAGGCTAGGTGGCGCTAGGTACCACCCAATTCATGTTTTACAAAAAAAATATTTTTATTTTCTTACACCACAATTGCGTTTCTTTTTCTTCGGGAATCTCTAACACATGTTGACACGTTACGCACACTACAAGTACAGTGTTCTAGAGGGTGTAGTGGCAAGAGCGGCGCCCGCTTACAAAGAAGCGCGTGAAGACGGTCGACGTAGATACCGCGAGTGGCGCTTAAGTTTTTTGCCCTAGGAGAATTAATGGCACGTGTGCGATCAACGAAGAAGACGACGAGGGTGACGCGGTACGCTTCTCCAGAATGTAGCACCGTAGAACTTCTTTCGCAGCTATTAAGCCTGCAGCCCAAGTGATAGCGTTGCCGAACGATGCGTCAGTATTGGGAGGGGGGGGGGGGGAGTCGATATTGATTAAATAATCTCCCTCAAAACACGCCAATATCTCAAGTAGAGGATAGCACACACTCTAGAGGCATTAGCTGAAAGGCAGAACTACAATTTACTATACTTCGTTTCACCTTATGTTGTACCGCAGCGAAGGCTAGAAGCACGAGCTCATAGCGTTGGCAGCTGCTCTTAATTCACCAGAGCTTGTGCCGCCGAGATGTGTCCCAGAGAAAAGAGCTCGCGCTTGTAGCCTTTCCTGCGGTACATCATAAGGTGAAACAGAGTATACAGAACAACATTAGCAGTTGTTTCGCACCGCGAAAAGCTTCAGTCAAACCACAGTAGTAAGCGCCGAACAGCGCTGATGATGGGGCTGACGGGGGCGCGCTCCTAGGGCACAGAACAGCAGCGCCATGGTGTCGTCTACGCGCAAAATCTTCACAAAGCGGCCGCCGCTCTTGCCCCTAAAACTCCCTCTAGAACACTGTGCTACAAGCATCAGGTGAACATATATTGAGCGCATACACAGGCATCGCACATACAAACATCAATACAACAGCACACTCCCGAACCCTGCGTTTCCGTCTTTTATACTGGTCGTTTTGAACGTACGGAATTTTTCGGTGACTCCCTAAGCAATAAAAAATACTCCGAACATGTTCATTTTTTTCCAGCAATGTCATACATCTGAGACTATTTTTAATGGCTCAGGGGATGAATCTCTTATTAAAAAGAAAACGCTCGATCATGCCGTAATTATTTGAAAGCCAATAAATGGAGCCGCTCCAATGTGGTTCCAAGCCATAAGTTTGTTTTCCCGCACGGCCCTTCGTAGGCAGTATTTATACTGTAGTGTTTGTTTTTCTATTTGCGCTGTTCGCGCGCGGCTGCAATTGCCGTCTTGGATTAATCTTTGTAGAGCGGATATGCACACAGCTGGAAGTGATGCTTCACGGGCAGAGAAATCGCGTTTCCATCAACTTGAATGCAGTCAAAGCCGCGACTTGCGGCAACTGTTAAGTGTACGGAGCTACGCCGTTGCGAGCTTGGAGGGCAGTTTCTACAAGAACCGTAATATATTTAAACAGTAAAATCAAGGATAGCGTTTTTTTTCGATTTTACCTGTTTTTTTATGCTAAACTTCCATTGTAAATATACGTACTTTCCGTACGTACTTTCGTACTCTTCAGTCTTTCCTTCAGAGCGCAATCGCTCTCGGCGACCGACGGTCACATTGGCCACTGTACGATAGGAGCTTACCGTTCAAACCAGCGTTCCAACATGACTATCCACACGTCGATCGACTGCACCTAATCCCTCAAGTGGTTTTAAACTCTTTAATGTAAAGCGGTATGTCATCCTGCGACACCCCGCCCCCTCCGATCACGGCCCGACCAGCGGCGCCATTGCCCGACAGTTTACGTCATCATGTCGTATTACACCTGAGACTGCGGTGGAAGAAATCAGAACTTTCAGTAGAAGGAACAGACACAGAGAACGTTCTCTGTGTCTGTTCCCTCTACTGAAAGTTCTTCCGATTTCTTCCACCGCAGTCTCAGGTGTAATACGACATGATTAGCTACCACCAGCTCGCCTGCACTCTCACCGTCTTTTCACTAATAGTTTACGTCATCTCATCTTGTTGTTACACCACTGATACGCGAACACACGGTCACAACGGCGATAATTCCAGTCTTCTGTTCACAACCCACAACACTGCCATCGCGATGTCGCTGACACGCAGAAATACAGAATCACGTTGACGATGTTGCTGACAGGCAGAAATACGGAATCACGTTGAACGCCGGTTGGCACTCGGCATGGGACAACAGAACCGAACTCAGCACGGAAGGCACCCGGGCAGCCGGCAGGAAAACCTGCCTGCCTTGGACGCAGTTCCCGCGATTTCCATAACGTTGAAAACGTCGACACAGTTCCTCGTGGTTTCGCTACTGTAGTTCCGCGTGTGTCCCGCAAATCGGAGACGGCCGTCCACTCTTACCCAGTGTATGTAGCGCTGCTGGCACTGCTCCGGAACTTCGCTGTTTCTAGCTGCTTCGTTAGCTCGTTTATAAAATTAGTGGTAAAAACGTCAATGCAACCGAAATGTTCTGCACGTTTGGACTAGAAGACGGAATTACAGGCGGCCTTCGCTGCCGCTGAAGCTCAATCAACTCAACATTAATTTATTAAACAAAGTGCGCAATATGCTCGAAAACGAAACCGAAAGAAGATGAGTCGGGAGGGCGAAAGCTTTCTCCGGTTTGCCTGGAGGAGGAAAACGACTCGGTGAATAATAAGAACTTTAATATTCCTTTCATCGGTCTGGGTTTGTCTATGTGTGTTTTGATAAATAAAAAAATAAAAAACTTTACGAAAAAAAAAAAAAAAAAAAAAACCGCTCGTCCGGGGAGCGAACTTCTGATCACTTGGTCAGTAGCGCGATGGTTTACCCCTGCGCCAACTGAACAAGGAGGAACTCGCCATCCTCCTTTCATCTAAACTGCCGTTCCTCCCTTCTCTGGGCAACTTGTCCGCAACAAGGAGGAACAGTCGCTGTTGCTACCTTTCTCCTCCTTTTTTTTCTTAGAGTGTAGGATCACTCCCATGGAAGCATAAAGAAAGTATTAAACAAACGTGCCCAAACTCCGAAGAAATTCGAACTCTTCACTGTATAACGTCACTGACTCTGAACTGACGCATAGATTGGGACCGTGTTGTCGAATGTAAAACGCTTCATGAATTTCCCTTGCCATTTTTTGTGAATGTTTAGCCAAAATTTCAATGTCACTTAACCGAGGGGAGCAACCACACCTATCACAATGAATGGCTAGGTGACCCGAAGGTGATTGTTCCCCTCGTTTAAGTGACATTAAAATTTTGGCTAAACATTCACAAAAAAAAAAAAGGCAAGGGAAATTCATGAAGCGTTTTACATTCGACAACACGGTCCCGATCTATGCGTCAGTTCAGAGTCAGTGACGTCATACAGTGAAGAGTTCGAGTTTCTTCGGAGTTTTGGCACGTTTGTTTAATACTTCCTTTCTGCTTCCATGGGAGTGATCCTATAACCACAGGCGCGTGCCTACATGCAGCCAGAAAAGGGTGCCGACATACCAAGAGGCCGCGCGCAAGACAGGTACGCACAGAGCATTAGGGCTCGCGCTGTGGTTTTTGGCTTTGCTCAGACATGAGGTGGAATGATGTATACACCTTTGCAAGTGGGATCCCGGCTTAACCTCGAACCGCGCGCCAAGGTGAGATGGACCTACTCTCCAGCCAGGACGTCCGCTGGTTGTCGTACAATGTTGCCAAGCGTCTCTCGCCGAAGCATACACCACTGAGCGCAGAAAGAAATGGAAAAAATAACTGTAAAACGTACACGTGTCGTCTTCGACCGCGAAAGAGCACGGACAATTAAATAAAATGCCTTAACCGGTAACAAATCGAAAAATTTCAAAAATATCTAAAGTCTCAAGGCGCTCTTCAGAATGCGCCACAAGTCACATGGCCTTTGCATCAACGATGGCTGCGCTCGCGGCAGCTCTGGCTTCCACAACATGCAGGAACAGAGGCTGCGATCGTTATAGAGTCAGCTCCAACCCTTAAAGATGCCCCGTCCTACAATATGTGATGCTACGATTCTGTGTGGATACCTCCTCCCGCGTTCCGAGACAGTAAGTGTGCCGCTAACGTTAGCCATCGGCGATGCAGCAAACGGCACCATCTTGTCATCGCGCACCCCACTGACGTGCCCCTAGCGCGCCCCAGCATGGCGAAAACGGTACGGGGCGCCAGCATCGCTCAAAATGGCAGCGCACAGGAGCCTTTCTTGCAAAATTGTATAGTTATATCTTTTCCTACTTTTTGCTTCCTTCTTTTTTAAATTTTTTTTTAATGGTATATAATGTATAGTTTTTGTAAACAATTCCTCAGATGGCATATGACAAAGAGGATGTCCTACATGCTGGATTCTTCTTTTATTTTTCATCTCTTGTTTTCTTATGTTGATATGTTTTAAAATGATGAGAAAGAAAGTAAGTCGTGAGTCAGCGCTGTGTCTGTGTCCCTTCTTCTACTTGTCCTTGTGTTCGTTTGTGCTGTTTTATTTCTATGTTTACAATGCATCACCGACTAGCCCACCTCCAAACATTACTGCAGTTCCTTTCTTTTACATCGGGCCCTTTTATGTGTTCCTTCAATCTTCAACATCAAGACATCTTCTATGTCAATGCCATCGCTGTTTCTACGTGCAAAGCAAGGCAATATGAGTACGCTGCAAAGAAAGGCAATTACCCCCCTGAGGTATTAAGCCTTTTTGGATTGACGTCTCTGTCATCTGGACATGCCAAGCGCGTATGCAAGATTCTCCGCTCGGAACATTGGAGGCAAGTCAGACTTCTGCATGACTGCTTGAAAGTGTGGTGTTATAACACGTGTACTAACGAAGACAGCGCCAGGAGAAAACTCCGTGCGTGTCAATTGGAGTCTTCACGTATTACTGAGTTCTTATGGCTGCATCTACGTTCCACGTTCCCTAAGAAACACAAAGACCCGCCTCGTGCAGGGAATAGCGTTGTGTTCTTAGGTGATGCAACTGCGCCTGCTGCTATCACACACATATTGAGTAAGGGCCCAAAGTATGCTACTGAGCCCCTAGTGAAGCCCCCGGAAATGCTCTCCCTTGTGAGACGGCTAGCTGAGAAGACTTGCTGAGAAAAAAGACATGTGTATCCTAGACTGTGTAGAAAGCTTACGTAGGGACACCAGGAAATCTGTACATCGATTTCATTTCGGCCCTATTGTTTCTTTTTTCAAAGACTGTAGGTTAAAGCTGCTGGTTTCAGATAAGGAGGGAGGATTTGTAGTTGTGCCAGGACATATAGACCTTTCCAGAAAAGGGCTGCTGGCCGGTTTCATTTTCAGTGTTCGTGCGTATGGCGCGTGCTTTGCTCGCTTTCCGAAGCGACGCACACGCGCGTGCTGAGCTGTGGAGATCGCACGCTGAGCTGTGGATTTGTAAACATTGGAAAGGTCTATATTTAAGGAAAAGTCTACTCAAGCCGTGTCGAAAAATTTCTAACCTGTTCCAGATGTGGTTCTGGGCAAGGTGAAGACGCGTTCTGAGCAACTTTGTAAGCAGCTTGGTTTAGAAAGGCTCTGGAAGTCTGTCCAGGCGGCTCGTGGTCTCAATCTGGAGGTTTTCTTCTCTGTGAAGACCCATTAGGACGCTATGCCGTTCAGGGCGATCGTTACACAGAGAGAGTCATGGCAGCTGCATGTCTCGAAGTATCTCCAGCATCACCTATCTTCTTTGAAGTTAACTGATCCTTTTTTACTTCAAAACTCTGAAGAACTGGTAGATTATCTAAGCATTGACAACCCTGGAACTTGTGATCTGGTTTCGATTGACGTGGACGACCTTTTCTACTCTATTCCTCATGGAGGTCTCATTGAAGAGGTTCAGCTTTGCATTGACTTAAACGGTTCTGTAGCCTTCCAGAATTCGACTGGTATTGCTATGGAAAAGTTTTTGGATCTTCTCCGCTCTTACTTAAATTCTAATTTTATTTCTTTTGAGGGCAACACGTTTCTGCAAAAATCCGGGATCTGCATTGGGTCCAGTGTTGCTCCCATATTGAGTGACATCTACCTAGCAGGTTGTGATTGTGCTATTGCAGAAAGGTTAGATGATCGTTTTTTGAAAGTCTTCAGGTATGTTGACGATTACCTGGTGGTGTTTAAACCTAAGCAGGGCTCACGAAGTTTTGACTTGGTCTCAGAGTTATTAGACACCTTTCGGGAGTGCTCTGGAGGTCTGCGGTTTACGAATGAGGTTCCAATCAAAAAAGCTTTGCAATTTTTGGACCTCAACATTCGTCTTGAAACGAGTCACCTGTGCTGGGCTTATGAGCCTAGAACAAAAAAGTCCCTCCTTAGCTATGAATTTACGCACTCAAAAGTTGTAAAAAGAGCTATTGCAAAATCATGTTTGAGAGCTTCTTTATTGAAATCTTGTGTTCACAGAGGTTTCAACAGCTTTCTGGCTCAAGCCGATAGGTTAACAAAAGCGGGTTTCCCGAAACATGTCATAGTGGGGGTAGCGGAGTCACTTTTAAAATTATTCAGGAATCCCCTTAACATACTTGACAATGTTAGACAAAAGTCTGCCTCTCGACCGGTGGTAATACCATATTTGCACAGTTTTTCCCACAGGATCAAAAAAGTGGCTGTTAAATACGAAGTTCCCATAGTCTTTTCAGCACCTTCCAAGATATCTCGTTTGTGTGCGTCCATTGAGAAAGCAGGACTTCAGCGTGTAGGGTGTGTAATAAACCATCGCATCAAATATGTAGCTTGTGCTATGGGGGTCGTTTATAAAATACCCTTTTCAAGTGCTATAGTGTATATTGGGCAGACGGGCAGATGTATTAATATTCGAGCTCGGGAGCATTATCTGTCTTTGAGGTCTTCACCTTCGGGTAACCTAGCCATTCATTGTGATAGGTGTGGTTGTTCCCCTCGGTTAAGTGACATTGAAATTTTGGCTAAACATTCACAAAAAATGGCAAGGGAAATTCGTTTTACATTCGACAACACGGTCCCGATCTATCCGTCAGTTCAAAGTCAGTGACGTTAAACAGTGAAGAGTTCGAGTTTCTTCGGAGTTTGGGCACGTTTGTTCAATACTTTATTTCTGCTTCCATGGGAGTGATCCTATAACCACAGGGGCGTGCCTACATGCAGCCAGAAAAGGGTGCCGACATACCAAGAGGCCGCGTGCAAGACAGGTACGCACAGAGAATTACGGCTCGCGCTGTGGTTTTTGGCTTTGCTCAGACCTGAGGTGGAATGATGTATTCGCTCTTTCTCGCGTGAGTTGAGACGTGGGGGCGCCACCTGCTCCGGCAACCGGAAAGCGCCCTTTCGGACTTCCGGTACGGGTGGGCGTAGGCACTTCGGAAGGCTTGTTTGGCTGCCCTGTCGATCCCGTTCGCAGAGTTTTATCTTCGATTGCGTTGGTTTAAACGAATGTATGGGTGATCCAGAGCAACTACCGCGTCTGGGCCCCTGCTGTGTAGTTCCTGGATGCAGCAAGCGTTCAGGGGCGAACTTGCTGTCCGCAATTCGGTCTTTTCGGTTTCCGAAGGATCCTTCACGAAGAGCAGCTTGGGTACAGGCCGTTCGACGGGACAAGTGGCTGCCGAACGACAGGAGTGTAATATGTTCGACACATTTTATTAACGGTAAGGCACACGGATTTGTTGTACCTATGTTTAGGATATTAAAAACAAAATGCTGTCCCGATAACTCTCGAGGGTTGCGCAGACAGGCTGCCCCGAAAACTTTTGTGGGTTACGCGAGATATTAGGTCCGGTCGAAGCGGTGTTGGGCATTTTAGAACTGTTTCACGCGCCGATTGGTGTTTCTTTGAGGGTTTAGGTTTCATGTGTAGCGAGACGCGACAGTGAACGATGAAACGAAGCCGGTGGTCACGAAAATCGAACGTTGCGCGCGCGAGCTACAGATTGCCGGGCGATTGGCAAACCAGTCCCGCGTTCTACGATAGCACCTTGCTCTACTTTTTTTTAGGCAGTGTAATAAGAAAATTAAAAAGTAGAACTCCCTCATTCCTACATATATATCCGCCCAAAGCAAGTTCGCGGATATGACTCAATAAACAACTTGCAGCTGTCTGACCGTTAGAAAACTAGTAAGATCAGATTTCCCATTTCTAAAACAAGTGAGCCGGGTAATATTGAATGTGTCATTTTTATTTACCTACTGCATAGTGAAGTGTTGGCAGCTGCGAATTGACTCATGAAAGCATGTATTCATTTTTCATCATCTGACACTCAAAAACCACTGTTACACAGGTTTTGTTTTCTTCTATTGCAGGCTGTCCGTCTCAAGACCCAACACATCCCGACTATGTGCCCTCGATTTTCGCCTTCAAGGCTCAGACAGATGTGTCGAGGAAGATAGCTCGTCACGGTCGACTCCAGGAGCGAGTGAAACGACAAAATGAGCAAGCCCAGTCAAGAGACGACGCTGCTACTGCCAAGGGATTGGAACTTAGCCATGAGGAACTTCCCTGCACCGAAGATGCAGCAACAGCTGATGCAGGTGCCAACACCGAAATGACAGGAGGCCAAGTTGAGGTTCTGCTGCAAGAAAATGAGAGCCTCAAGAAGCAAGTGTGCGACCTTAAAAATGAGCTCGCGAAGACAACTGAAACATTGAGGGGCTTCAAAGCATCCAATGAGAACCTCAAAAGAAGCCTTGAGAGCAACACCCCCACGAAAGATGCTCTTAAAGATGACCTTCGTGTAAAGTTCTACACTGGTCTCATGTCGCGGAATATGTTCCATGCTCTTCTAAGCTTTATCTTATCGTTTTGGAAACCCGACACACAGACCTTCCTCGAGCCAGAGGAGCAACTTGTGATGGTTTTAATGAGGTTAAGACTTGGGCTGCTGACCGAGGACCTGGCATGCCGTTTCCGGATTTCAGCATCTAGTGTGAGTGTAATTTTTCACAGGTGGTTCGACGTGCTCGCGTGCAATTTGGGGAACCTCTTGATTTGGCCATCACGAAGAGCTATCCGCTGCAACCTTCCAGAGGTCTTCAGTGACCCCATTTTTAAGGACGTCAGGTGCACAGTGGACTGTTCAGAAAGCTTTATTCACAAGCCATCTTTCATGTCTGCCAGGAGCCAGACATTCTCCCAGTACAAGCACCATAACACTGTTAAGTTCTTAGTAGCTGTCTCTCCAGCAGGTTCCATAACGTTCATCTCAAAGGCTTGGGGTGGGCGTGTATCCGACAAGGAACTCACTTCAAAATGCGGACTTCTGGACAAGATTGAGGAGGGCGACGTCATCTTGGCTGACAGAGGCTTCAAGTGTGAGGAACTCTTCGCAGCCTAGGGTGCCTCAGTGCTGATGCCGTCTTTCACTAAGGGGAAGAAGCAGCTGTCGGGCGAGGAAGTGGCCCTGTCAAGGAAGCTTTCCCGGGCCCGCATTCATGTCGAACGTACCATTCAGAGACTGAAGACATTTCGCATCTTTCAAATGGTCCTCCCCATCTCGTACGTAAAGAAGGTTGGGGACGTAGGGCTGAGCACCATTGACAAGACCCTGATTGTGTGCTCCGCACTGGTGAACCTGCAAAGCCCCCTCATCGCAGGAGTGGGCCAGAATGACCGATAAATCTGGCATAACGTGGTTTGCAGTGGTGTGTATCGCATTTTCCGGGCTATAGTCCATGGAATATACGTGTTCAAAAGTTAAGGCTGTGCGGACTGTCTACGCCTCCAGACTACACAGGAATTTTGTTTTTCAAGATTGTTTATTATGATGAGACGCAACGGATTTTGTGAATGAGATTATGTTGATGATGTATGTATAATACAAGGTTGTTTGTGAGCTAAGAAAGGTTCGGGGTACACCTAAGCACTCCTTACGAGTTTTGAATGCGAAAGCGAGAGTGCCGTTCCTCCGCTCTTTTATTTCATGTACAGCATACTTGCGTCGACGGTTGAATGCGCACGCTTCGCTTGCCACGCTGACTTTGGGCGTGGAGCGGTGGAGGTGCTAATTGAAAGTGACGCGCGGCGGCTTTGTATCACTGCCATTTTGCGTGGTTTCAAAACTGGGATGCCTCAGATCGCGGCTTCGAGAATTTATCTGAAGTTTGGCGCGGCTGATGACGTCGGGTCGCTCCATGGGACAGTTATTGCTTTCGCATTAAAAGCAGACATCTGTCAGTGTGCGCCGTGTACGAGATGTTTGTGTCGACTAAGCACCAGGTGCGTATTATGCACGGCGTGCGGACTATCTAAGCAAAAACTTTTATTTTTGAACCCAAATTTGCCCCTTGTGTTATGTACTGTGGTCTGGAGCCTGAAGATAAAAGTCATGCAGCATATCTAGTAATTCCCGGTGTGTCTTGCATTGTTCAAATTTGGTATTTGCACACTGAAAGAGTATGGACGTGAATAATCATTCATAAAAAAACTAATTCATGTGATCAGGAAAACTACCTGTCATATGTTCCTACATTCCTGGCATGCAAACAAATCTTGATGCGCACACGGCTTTAGCAGCATGTGCCGAGTGGCTGAGAAATTTGTGCGCAAGCTGCTTTCGAGCGAGGAAAAAAAGCTTCGCTGTATTGTCTTGCGTAACATGCTGTAGTAAAAGATTTCTTAAAAGCATGGCATTTATCAGGTTTGCCATGCTTTTCTGTTACTGAAATGGTCCTGATTCATCGGTCCAGAGGACACTAGGAAGAAGAAATATTTGTAGCAGTGCACGAACAGCTGGAATAAGTGTGATGAGTCCCAAGGGACATAATTCGAAGGAGATTAGAGTTAAGATGCGAAATACAAGCTAATGGGTTTTTATTGCCCTCTGGTATGATATTAGACTATTATGACTTAGAACTAGCAATGAGTGCCAAGGCATTGAGTCAGGTTTCTGCAAGCATTTGTTTGTATTTTTTACTTCCTTGGCGATTGGTCTGCTTGTGCCTTGTAATCGGGTCGATCTACAGAACTGCTGGCGAAAAAGAAATCTCGTTTGGTCGGGTCAAGAGCACTCCCAATGTCACTATTCGCTTGTGCCGTATTCTTCAATATTTACAAAGATCAGATTTCAGATTGTAGTGAATGCTGGAAAGGCTAGTATTAGACAAAAGCAAACAAGATGGCATAATGTCATATGTGAAATGCGTAAATGAAAGGTTTACATATCATTGGGGTGAATAAAGCTCACAAACAAATGTTGCAAGGGGAAGGTCTCGGATCCTCCTTTATTACATTGAACAAATAAAGCATCACTGCAGTTTAGAGGTGTGGATTTAAATGACACACAGTTGGAATTGACTCTTTCACGCTTGAATTTCGCTTTAGTTAAAGATATCTATTGTAGCTTCGAAAAAAAAATTTAATGCAAAAATCCACAATTCAATATATTATCTTTTACAACAAACAAAAACAGCACAAGAACATTAAAACTGGCAAAGCAGCATTTTTAAGCATTCTGAAGTGTCCATGGTCATGTTAGAATGCTCCGGTACTACTACTTGCCAGGCCCTAGCCAACTTCATCCATGGGTTGTCTCGAACAGTCAAAATTCTTAAAACCTGCAGTTCACAATGTTTCTGTAATTTTTCATTTGAGGCGCGAGATGGTAGGTACCCCATGCTTGCAACAAGCACAGTCGTGGAGGCACTAAATAGCTCCACGCAAGTAGGCATTCATTTCTGAGGAGTGCCGTCTCCTGGCTTACTTTCGATTTACTGGTGATGCCAAAACTCGTCGTAAAGCAGACGGGGAGCCCACCAATGCAAACAAACTGCTGTTATCACCTGTGTCTTTGCCGCTGTTGTCTGAGCAAAGGGAAGAGGAGCATTTAGGAAAGAGTCAAGCTTGGAGGTCACTCGTGATAGGAGAGGATGGTAGAAATTATAATAGTTATGAGCCATTCTTACCATGCTTTGAAATATTGTATTGCTACATTCCTTTTTATACTTACTCTTTGTGACAAGGTCGCACATGATAACGGCAGTTTGTTTGCATTGATGGGCTCACTCTGTCTGCTTCACGTGGACGAGACCCGATGTCAGCACCAATTCAGATGTAAGCCACCAGTCAAGCACTCCTCAGAAAAGAAAGGCCGGCTGGCATGGAGCTGTCTAGTATCTGCATGACTGTGCATGTGTCTTTCAAAGGATCAAACATTTGCATTCTCATCCAACAGACAAGATAAGAAATCTTTAAATAAATTGTGACAAAGTGTGCACTAAATATAAACATTTTCGGGTAGGCTGCCAGCAGTCTAGGACAAAAAAAAAAAAAAAACATTCAGCGCATTACATCTTTTGGGCATAACAGTGAAAAGAGTTCACTTAAAATGAGGCGAGATTCAACAAGTGTTGCTTCATCGGTAGTGAAAATGTTAGCCTAAATACTTCATTCAAAATGAGATCACTGCAGTGTATAAAGATAAATCCCTAAACTTCCTCAATGCAGTCTTGACAATCTGAGCAGATCCAGATCTTGGGCCTCCGTTTCAGCCCCAGGCACTTTAAATGAGCTAATGCTCCACATGCACTGCACTGCACTACAGCGCCAGTTTTCGCTCCTTTGCAGATGCAGGACTTCTTGGCCCTTTCAAGTTTGTTTTGCAAGTCCCTGGAGCGAAACTCTAAAAACACATGGCTAAAAAAAAATAGCTCTGCCTTTCCAACTGCTGTATCCCAGAAAATATTGTTGAAATGTATCATCTCAACGCTAATGTCGACTCCGGTGTACACCACAAAAAAAAGCTCTCTCTACACCACTCAGCGCCATCTGCGCCTGCACCTGCGCATAATGGTCGTGAGTGGCTTCAAGCTGCAGATCCTTTGTCAAATAAGACGGCAGCTTAGTGTCAGGGTCTCGCAGCTTCTTGCCCTTGCACGTAGAGGGGCACTTGATCTCTAAGACTGCTTTAGTGCAGCACGAGCAGGTGACTAGACCGTCAGGCGAAGCTCCCAGGAACGGCTTCTCGGGACAGACAAAGAGGCCTGTGTTCTCAACTTTAAAGTCCCTGTGATTTCGTTCCTCGGATAAGACGAACGCCCTCCGAGCATCACCCTCACTCGCCTTTCGATGTCTTAGACTTGGTACATCGGGAGCCTTGACATACCCCATGATCTCGGACACAATACCTTCCTGTCCATTGCGGCACGAAAGAACCCTCCCAAGGATTGATGCAGTTATCCTTCCCTGCCTTTGCTCAAACCAGGTTCCAGAATGGGCCTGACCACGCGTGCCCACCTCGATTTGCCCACATTGCAGGGTAGTCAGTTTCAAACCCTGGGCTGCCACTTGATCATTAGGGGTGTACATCTGTACAACGGAGTCCGGAAACATGACACTGGGAGCTGCAAGGTCTTGTCCCTCCGAGTCGCTGCAAGTATCTGTATCCTCGCTGTCTGTCAGTGAAGAAAGCAGCAGGGTGCTAGGAGCTATTTCCTAAAAAAAGAAAAAAACATCCTTAATGCACACTGCTGGCCACTAGAAACATGATGAACACTAGTGGCGTAAAACAACAGCACCGGCCAGGGACCTCGGGACCGGGGGAAGGGGGGGGGGGGGGCAGTGGGGGCCATGCCCCCCCCCCCCCCCCCACTCCAAACTGTTCCGACCGCCCCCCCCCCCCTTTCTTGTCCCCTCCCACCACCCGTGAGGCTGTTGCATGTTGAAGCTGCACTCCATAGGCGACGAGGCCCCACAGACTAATCCAACATGAAAGACAAAACATGTGCCAACACCAGGCTAAACCGCGTTGGAGCATCTGCTGTGTTGCGACTACCGAAGCACTCCCTGTCGGCGCTCGTTAGTGTCATGATGCAGTACTTCGCCTCACCGCTCCTATATATGTATATATATATAAAGAAAGAGAGAGACAGAGATGCAGGGTAACGGTGGAAAACAAACCAGGATTTATTCAATGTTTCGACCTGGAAACGTCTTCGTCAGGAAAATGATGAAAATTTGCCTCAGGTCGAAACGTCGAATAAACCTTCCTGGTTTGTTTTCCACCGTTACCCTGCATCTCTGTCTTCTACGCCTTTGGCCTCCAAGTCAACATGCCCCTATATATATATATATGTATATACACAAAGAGAGAGAGAGGTGAACCACATGATGCGACATGAACCCCCACATGTCGCCTGCACACATCAGATATATTTCCAGAGCCCCTGGTACTGGCGTAAAATCACACCAGGAAGGTCACATAAGTGCTTGTTATGGCTGCGAGTGTCAATTATAAGCCTCAAGGATTCAAAAACGTGCTTAGATGGGCCAGTTGACACATTGCAAAGGGTATAAAGCGCAGAAAAGACATGGACCGAGACACGAAGACAACGACACAAG